CACTGATTTAACACGTTGACGGACACCCGCGGTATTTGACGTCAGACTTCCATTGTGAGAAATGACACCAAAATCATAGGTGACGGTATATAGAAACGCACCTTGATATCTTTGCCAATTTTTAAGATAAATTAACTTAACTTGTACCAAAAGTGATCTTTTGATCAGTATTTTCAACATAAATCATAAAAATGTCAGCGTCATATGACGTCATGTCCAGTTAAAAACCATATCGTGTGTAGGTTATCACTTGCGGGAAATACCGCACTTTTTTTTTTCAAATAAATGAATAGTTTCTCGATCAGTAAAATCAAATATTTTATTGAAGGAACAAAAGAAAGATAATAATAATTATTTAAATTATAACAGAGCAGCATTTGGGCATGCCAGGCCTCAACACACTCATCGCATAGTGGAGGATTCCCAATACAATCAATGATTGCATGGTCAGGGTGTTGCTCTCTGTTTTCTCTGCGAATTTATCAAACACTACCAAAAACAGCAGAAACAGTACCCAAACACACAAAAATACGCGCCAAATTGCGCCACAATACTCATTATTGCACAAAATTATTGCTTCTCTTGCGTTCGGGAAAAATAAATTTACTAAGTATCCATTTCAATTATAAATTTTTAGGTTTCTAGATTGACACCCTATAAGCATAAGCATGTTAAATCGTCGGCAAATAACGCTAGCTCCCACTAAAGCCGAAAAAGTTCACGCGGCATATCTTGTCAATGTCCATGTAAACACAATGCAACATGCGGCATATGCCGCTATTGCCCAAATATCAACACGCCATAAAATTGAGTGTCCGTCAATGTGTTAACATAAATACTTGCATCACTCATTACAAGATCACTTTCTGTAGGAGACCAATCCTTAAAACCGTCTTTTGCTAAATTATCCACAAATTCATTCCCTTCTATTCCTTTGTGTACTTTAACCCATAGAAAGGGAATGTAATTATGCTTGAAGATATTATTGCGGGTGTAATTTTCGCTCCATAAAGCAGGATTAGTTTTATACGACCAAGGCTTAACTGTGTCAAGACATCGAAGGAATGACATAATTTTTGTTTTCTTCTTGAAGCAGAAAATTTAGTGCTTCCTGTATAGCAAAAGCTTCAGATGTAAAGATGCTATAATATGTAGTCTAAAAATTTTCTAAGCTTTATATTTAATTGTGGAATATAAAATGCTTCATCATTACCTACCTCTGTTTTAGATGTATCCGTATAATTAGTATTGAATTCTTGTATATTTCAAGCTATGCTTTTATAATCTTTTCATCAAAGTTCTTGGGTCGTTTGTAAATTTTGAAAATTTGATTCAGGTACTTCGATTTTCATATTTTGAGAGGGTAAGAGTTGATATTATGGTATTTAGTAGATTGTATTTTCTAATAGTGGGGATACTTTCGAGTACTTACTTACATCAGATATACTCCATTTTTATACTGTAATATAGGCCAGTGGTAAAAAAATTATGTTTAGCTAAGAATTTAGTACTGAGAATCTCTCTTCAGTTTACATAGCCATCAGAAAACGTACAATCGACGACAATGAGAATAGGATAGAAGATAATCAGACTAGGTATCGAGTGATCTCCTATGATGGTGATGATGACCATAGAATACAGGGTGTCCCCGTTTAACTAGTCAAAAATGCTAGGGTATACAGGGTGTCCCCGTTTAGATGGTCAAAAATGCTAGATATAGAGGAACCATGAGGAAGTAGATTGAGATAGGACGCCAATGGTCGGAAGTGCATCGTTTCCAAAATACAGGGTGTTGAAATTTAAACAACCCCCTTCTATATTATCTGTTGTTAATTTTCCATGAAGTGCTCAAAGGTTTAATGTGTGTTGGCTTAGGGTAGTTATTAAGAGGAATGGGTTTGGTAAATGGTGGTTTTGAGATAATGGGGTAGAAAAGTTTAAAAAATGATGAGTTTCTTTTTATGCTCTTTCCATCTCTCTCTGCAATTATTTGTGTTCCTTGCACTTGTTTTATTTTGTATGGATTTGGATCAAATCTGGGTGTGAGGCTGTTCTTTTTGATCTGCTTGTATAAAACAAGATCTCCCATTTTAAAGCTGTAGGTCTGTGTGTGTCTTCTATTGTCGGCATATTCTTTCTGCTTTCTTCTGTTCTCTTCGTCTTTGTGTTTTACTGTGTGATGATGTTCATTCTGAGTTTCTTGGGTCTTATACATTGGTAACATATTGTTAATATTTCTTTGAAATACCAATTCAAACGGTGTTCTTTCTGTGGTTGAGTGGGGTGTGCTACGATAATTTAAAAGAAATTGTTGGATCTGTGAATCAAATTGCTTCGTTTCCAAGTGGGCACAGACAAGTGACTTTTTGAATGTCTTCACGAACCTCTCCGCTTAACCATTCGCTTCAGGCCAATAAGGAGTAACTCGTAAGTGTTTTACGCCAAGAATTCCCAAGAATGATTTCATTTCTAGACCATTAAATAGAGGGCCATTGTCTGATTTGATTTGTTCAGGAATTTCAAATGTGCTGAATGTTTTTTCAAATATTGTTTTAATGCTGGCAAAGCTTGTGGAAGGTACTACTTCTGCTAGTGGGTATCTAGAGTATTCATCTACTAAAATAAATATATATTTATTATTGGGAAACGGACCAGCAAAATCTATATCTAGATGACTAAATGGGGTATCTGGTAACTTTGATGAAATAATTGGATCTCTATGTCTTGTGTCTGTTACAGCTTGGCAGGGTGTACAATTCTTGATAAATGTTTCTGTTAATTTGTCGATGTTCGGGAACCATACTTTGGTGCGTAACAACTGTTTCGTCTTCACTATACCCATGTGTCCTTTATGTGCCAACTCTATAGCAGACCTTTGAAGTGAACTTGGCAAAACAATGCGTGTACCTGTTAGAACTATGTTATCTTGAACGGTTATTTCGTCTTTGATTTTATTAAATGGTATTAATTCTGACTGATTCCAATTGTTTTTGCTGTTTTGTATCTATTAGCGTTGTTAGTACTCTGTCATTTCTGGTTTCTTCTTCAACTTGTTTGATTGTCATGGCTTTAGGTATAGATGTGTGTATTAAGAAGTTTACATATTCTTCAATTTTGGTATGATCTGACACAGTTTCTAGCGGATGTCTGGATAAATAATCAGAAGGGTTTGATTTTCCTGTTTGATGGACAACTTTAAATTCATATGGTTGGATCCTTAGTAGAAGTCTCTCGATGCGAGCACTGGGAGATGAACGACTATTTCCTAAAATTTTCACAAGTGGTAAATGATCAGTATGGAGTGTGAATTTTGAACCGTACAAATATATATTGAAATGTTGAATTGACCATGTGCATGCTAATGTTTCCTTCTCTATCTGGCTGTACCTCTTCTCGACCTGTGTTAATGTTCTACTTGCATAAGCGATTATGTTACTTCCTTGTGTTAGCAATGCACCAAGACCTTCAGGTCCGGCATCAACGAAAAGATCAGTTGGTTTGTTGATATTGAAGTACGATAAAGTAGTCGCCTGTGACAACTGTTGTTTCAAAATTTCAAATGTTCTGTCATGGTCTGACTTCCAGTTCCATTCTGCATTTTTAAGTGTTAAATCTCTCAATATTGTATTTTCCGCTAAATTAGGCAGGAATTTTGACAGATAGTTGATCATGCCCAAAAGACTTCTAACTTCTGAAGGGTTTTCTGGTGGTCTCGTGTTCAGAATGCTGTTTACTTTGTCGGGGTCTGGTTGGATTCCTTCACTTGAGAACACATATCCGAAAAACTTGATTTTTGGGACACTAAGAATACATTTTGAAGGGTTGATTGTTAAATGAGCCTCTTGTAATTTGCTTAAAAGTGCTTCCAATGATGAATTGTGTTCTTTTAGAGATTTTCCAAAATAATGTGATGTTTATGTTTGTTGTGTTTTGTTGTTCAATAAAAGGAATGTTTTAAGTGATTGGTTTAACATTTATTCTCAAATTAACAGTAACAAATAGCTTTTTGAAAACCCGTCACATTTCTTGTTAAATTTTTAAATCAGGTTATGTTATTCTTTTTTCAAAGTTGACAGTTGACTTTCTTTTAAATTGCTCTGACAGAGGAGCGGAGCTACGTTCCTAAATTATGAACACTACAACACTACACTGATATTGAATTTATTCCATTTAAAAATTCCATCCTGTATACCCTAGCATTTTTGACCAGTTGGCAATAAGGTTATTATTTGTTCTACATTGAACATTTCAAAGTTATTGTTTCCATAGGGTCTATTAATTTCTATAAAATTACAAATATGATATAACAGATTAGGAAAATCAGTCAAGTTATGTGGATACTTCCAAAGTTGTTTTTAAACTTTGCTATTGTTGCTGGGATTTTGTATGTATTAGTGTTCATTATTAAATCAAGATTTCTGTATTGCCAGGAATATTTATAATAAAATAGAAATGGAATTGATTGATCAGGTATAATTTTTTTTGTCTTCTGAATCTTTTGTTATTAATATTACTTATTTGCCTTTTTTCTTGATCAAGTGCGTTCTCATTTAGTTGGTTGAAGAATAAATAAATGAATGTGGCATGTTTCGAGATATGCAAGTCATATAGTGACCTTTGGTCATAGTAAAGCTAGAGGAGGTCATATAACCTAATGACGCCTACTGGTAATAAAAATTTGTGTACATTATTAGTTTGCTTTAATTTCTTGTTTATTTCCTTTGTTCGGCATACTTTGAACTTATTGTCACTGAGGAACAATAACCTGGACTTTGTTTCTTTTTCTTTATTATAAAAGCAGATTACAACCAAAATTATATTCCAATCAAGTTAAAGCCCTGATAGTATAGGCGTTTATTATTACAAAACAACAATCTTCTTTTTATGGGTGATCTATAATTATTATGCACCAATGCACCTGTTCAAATCCTATATTTTTTCAATTTAAAATCAAATTTTACCTTCATGGTTGACGAGAAAATATATGTTTGCTCACTTACCTTGTAATACACCAAAGCTTATGAAAATATGATATAAATTTTTTGAGAAAACCAGTAAAATTGCGCCTCCGACAAAAAATGTCGCTCCCAAAAATGCAACTTTTCTACATGTATATCTACTCAACAACCCACTAGCTAGGAGACCTAAAAAACACAATCAAATATGAAAAAGATTTGATTTTAAAAATATATTCTCTTTGTACCTGTAAATGAATTGATTGTGTTAAATAATCCATTGCTCATAGCAGTTCCAGTGGTTTCATCCCCTAAATTCCTTAGAAAATCGCCGTAGATCAGTCCGAAAGCAGCTAGCGGAACAATTGTAACGCTCTAAAAAGTTTGAAAAAAAAAAACAATGACGCTTTTTAAAAACAACAAAAAAAATTCACTTACAAACATGATCACATTAGCAGCTACTATAACATATCCCCATCCGCCATCCGGTGCCTTCAAATCGAAATTTTCTTCGTTAATTTCACTTTCTTCTCCCATATTGTCCACTGACTGCACAGAAAGACAGCACTATGTCCCCGTAAGGGCATAATAATGATAATTTGTTCTTATCTATTGTGAAGCAATAAACTGAAATGTACTGTAATAAACTATTATCGTTATCATCGAAAAATGGGCCTCTTCAGAAAAATGTTTAGATTTAAAGAAATGTCGCTTATCTTGTCTTATAAGTGGGTTAACAGTAATTACCTAATTATTGACTAGACGAGATTGTGAAAATCAATATATAAGTAAACTGGCCAGATAGTTTTATTCAAGAAAATAATAAATTTATTATGTTAGTTTTGTTAATTTAATTTTGGAACATTTCTCTAACGTTTCGATTTAAAAGGTATTATTATGAGAGTCACTATCAACTCTACTTAAAAGTAGAGCTTAAAACAAGATAATTTAGTTATAAAATGACTAGATATAGTTTTTTCTTGATTGTGAAATTTTGTTTCGTTGATATAATTAAATATTTTTTGGCACTCGTGTGCGTTTTTCAAGGTGATGCACTTATTATGCAAACTCACTATTTTCAGAGATTATCCAAATGAGATTTAGATTATGCTCTCTATAAATTTTAGCCCAAAATAAGATAATTGTCATGAAATTGGACAAAATTGAAAAAATAAATAATTTCTAATACCATAATAATTTATTTTAATTAAGATTTTATTATAGAAAGTTTACTCAAAAAAGTGGCGGCATATTTTCAAAGTCTACGATTTTGTTGTCTCCCCCAAGTAAAAACTGGCTTGATCTCTACCTTCGGACTCGCAATGGACACTAAATCAAGTCCATGGCACAGCATCGGAAGCTTCCTAGGATAATGACATTAACTTGATGCGCCAATCTTCTGAAGCCGAAAGGCATCAGAAGAAGACTGTAGAAAATATCATGAATATACATCACCAGATTCATCCATTGAAATAGAATGCTTCAATGGGGAGATTTAGTGATTTTTTTTCCAAATTCTAGATCACAAACTAACTATATTAACACTATTTTACGGAACATTTGAGTTGTCCTTTATTTTTTATGAAAACTATAAATTCAACAGCATTTCAAATGCCGAAACATCAGCCGTATCTGACGTCATTCGCTACAACTAGCAATAATATAATACCTACTGCAAATTAGTAAATATTGTAACGTTGTTAGATTGTCTTTGCCATAATTGATTTTCAAGATTGTCTTTTAATACTTACCTACCTGGTTTCATCCTTGATAATATAATATTTTTTTTTTTGTATTTTTTGCTCTATAATTATTATAAAATTATTATATGTAGTTGTTCAATTGTTATTACCTACTTTCATTTGTACTACCATAGTTTTTGTACTAATCAGAATCTATGTCCTGTCATTTTGATTTAAGGAAATTACGACACGACAGTCAAATTGGCAATGTCGCAATTTTTAATGTCTACTGATGAATATTGAAATAATAAAACCTCTTATTTCACTGTTTGTTTTGATTTATTTTTTAGTTTTGTGCTCTGTGTTTCGTGTTTCGTTGCTGGAAATACCTTTACAAGTTCCCATAGCAAACCTGAAGTATAACAAAGTCATATCTATTATTAATATTTTCGAAAACGAGAATAAAAACAAAAACACTCATACACTTCCAAAATCAACATACAATTAGGTTATCTTAAACACCGTGTTAAATGAACAGGGTGCAAATAACGGTTGAGGAATTCCATCATTGTCACTCCTCAGAGTTTAGGCAAGGAAAGCATCAAAAATTTGGGTCAGAGCAATTGTGAACAATTCTTATTGGTCGGTAGACATCTACGTCATACATTGGCGCCATTCCGAGGCGTTTAAATATGTGGTATGAGACCAGAATTATTCAAAAATTATGTATTAAAAAAATAGGATATTTTAAAGCCAACTGGAAGCAAGGGAAATATTTTGATTCATAAACTGATGATTAAAAATATTACAGCAAATATGGTGTAACTCCCCATTATTATTATCTTGTTCTTCCAGAATTTTCTCGTTTGGTCTGGTCTATATGCAATGGCAATCTTCTTCTTCTCCTCCTCCTTTTTTTCAACTAGTTTTCTCTTTTGAGCCCCAATCAGATATTTGCGCGAACTACTCATTTTAATATTTCAAATATCAAATCCTCAAAACTCAAACGTAACAAGTGAAACATCAAAGACTCGCTAATAACCGGAAATTCCCATTAAAACGGGGAATAACCTATGGGAATCACTGAGGTTTCGACCAGCGAGGGTTGACAATTGTTTGGGCGTTCACATTTTTTATGTTCGAAAGAGATGGTGACAAATTAAATATGGATTTGAAATGTTTAAATGTGCATATTTGTATTTTTGGAGTTTGTTTGATATACATAGGTATTACTTTTTCTTAGAAGACTATATTGGGGGCCCGGGGGGCCCCCAATATACCGGGGCCGTTTGACACGCGCCTGAAGGTTTGCAAGATTGTCAGAAGGGAACTCTGAGCATAAACCTAAGGGCTCTCTTTTGTAAAATAAATATGGAAATGAAATTTGTCGTAATGCAACAACCTCAAAATGCAATTCCATAGGAAATGTGTGACTGCACCAGAGAAAAATATGCTCGCAGCTCTTACTGCTCTGAGAGTACTCTCAAAACTAGATAATTAACCTACCAGAAAGTGCCACAACATGCTGTTCAAACTTGAGACTCTCGCCCACTGTAACTCCAAGAAACTTAGCATAGGCGGTGGAATAAATAATTTCACCACATAATGAGATATTGGATAATGAGCACTTGAAGTTTAACATATTGGTCTTAGATATGTTGAAGGATAAATTGTTGCTGTCGCACCAGGTTTTTATTATCTTAATCGATTTTAATCATAATCATGCGTTCAAAGAATTCTCCACTGTTCGCATGCCTGACAATGAACGTTTCGTCAGCGAAAAGTCTAATACTTCCTCCGACCCTAAGAGAGGCTATATCATTACTATAGATCAAGAACAAAAGGAGGCCAAGGATAGAGCCCTGAGGCACAAAGTTAATAATTTAATTATTTAAAAAAGCCGCCTTTCCACTGTCGGTAAAGAAGAAACCTGCATTCAAACAATGTTCACTCTTTTAGTTGCTGTCCGTAGCCACCAGGGGCGCTAACGTCGACATTGTGCCAGTTAAGTACAGGGGTATGACTTCTCTCGTAGTTTACTACTATTATATTTCTCTATGCTGGTGACCTTGTTTCCCGACGTCAAAATTATTATGTCACTTTTAGAGTTTAACAGAAGTTCACACATTAGCTTATCAATTTATGTTAATAGACTATCAGATAGTGACAGATTTAGGTGCTCCATTTTCGCATACAAATTTTCCAAGTTGGTTGAGAGGTACCTACATCACTTTTGAAAATAATAAAGAAAAATTCACGAGTGGCTCTTGGGAGATAAAGGATTGAATAATAAAATCTGGGTCCAGAAAACTAAAAACTTGACTGTTGCAGGTAGCTTCAACATTCAGGAGAAAGCATAATATTCTTATGTGAATGTAGACAAAATAATATTACACCCAAATGCTTACACCTAAAAACATCTTACACTTATAATAAAACACAAAAAAAATAGATAGAGCTAATAATTCATTACCTACTTAGAGAGATAATACAATTTCATAGACATAAAAGATTAAAACTAACACAACAAATTGACATAACAAAAGATCAAATACCACAAAATAAAATACATCTTTTGAAAATTTTCTCAATCTGTAATAGTAGGTACGTTAAATAGTTGAGTATATAGAATTAAATTTCGAAAACAAAAACCAATTCATGTAAATAAATTCAATATTCTTTCAATCAAGAAAAATTTAATTTAACATTTTGGATTCTAGAAATATTAAGTTTATTGAAAAGAACGATGATAAAACTCAAATAAACAAAATAACAGATGGTGAAAAAATATTTTTATCAAAAGGCTTAAATGTTTCTACACACACATTTCCTTCTCGATTTCCTTTGACATTACAATACACCAGACACACACAATTTAAGAATTTAAAGTTAGAACTATTATAACATTTGACAAAACATTTAAAATCAAACCAAACCTGACATCCAAAGAAAACCGAATACTTAAATCATTAAAGCAAGGCAACAGAATTAGGATACTTCCAGATTAGATTCGCACACATACGAACAAAAATTATTCAGAAGATTTACACAACATTAAACAAAGATCCAACAAAATGCATTGAAAGACAACCATACAATTTTGCTTGATAATGGACAAAACAATAATGTCAACCCTTTGTAGTAATATTCAATTGAGAAATTAGCCTTTTTTTCCATGTGTGAGACATTTTACTCGAACTCTTAATTTTTTTTTGAAACTTATGCCGATAATTTTTCCTGGAAGAAATTTTTCCTTATTATAATTCACTATAATGAATAACTCTATGAACTCATTACGTAATGTTTCATTATTTTCAATGATATTTTGGTTTCAGGAAGATTTCTCTAGGCTATTGTTTTTTTCTCTGCATAGTTTGAGACTTTGCAACTACTCTGCTTTTTTAGCCCGTCACTTTTTCCGATTTTGTGTGTTTGTTTTTTCTTTTCAACTCGATGTTTTGTTTTTGCTTTTTCTCGTTTAAAAAATGTCTGCCATTCCTTGGAAGATGCCGGAACTTGTTCAAAAAAAATTTTTTTTTCGTGGTGCTTGGTCTTGGTATCGACCAGAATAGTGTTTTTTTGAAGTGAATACTTCTTTGGCCGCATGAGAGTGGTTTTTCAAGGTCGCGTCACTACACGATTTATAAAATTTTCGTCTCGCAAGTGAGATGAAGCATATGATGAATATGAGGGAGAGAGAGAGAAAGAGATGGTGAATGTAATCGATAAATATTTTAATAAGAAATTTACCTCAAAATTAAAGGTACCTACGTCCGTTGAATGCACCCAAATAATCGACACATTTTTAGTATTGCTACTTGTCAATAGATGGCGCCACCTGCCTAAAACCAAATAATTTGTAATTTTAACAATAAAAATTCGTTGTTTATTTATAAAAATGGTTCGAAGAAGAGGATTTAATTAAATTTATTTAGAAAATTCCTCTAAAAGTTATCTTTTTTCAAATGACTAACAGATTGCGTCATGTGTCCAACGTCATTCAATCAGTAGAGTCAACATAACCTCACTTTATTGTCTATATTTATATTTTGTTTTATTTATATAAATTTTCCATTTTTCCAGATAAAGAAAAGCCAAGAAGTGCCTTTTAAATAAT